TCCATTGCAGTACAGTGTATAACTTGTGACTATCGTGGTTCTACTTCAGCTGGAGGTATTGATAAAACTTAGGCGGAGTCGAAACAGCAGTCCACTTCAGCTTGTATGAGAATACCTTATGAGAAAGCAAGTCTACGTGAAATTCAATGGAAGCGTCAGCTCTACTCATAATTGTGTAAAAATTCAAATACCAGTCCTTCATAACCGAAACGACACAGAGTGAATAATTCTCATACAAATGATTTATCGGTAGTCTCGAAGCCCTACTTATAGACGAATTTTTAAAAATCAAATATCTGGCTCTGAACCGAAAAACGCGTAGAACAGATAAAAGGTCATATGAAGAGGACATTAATCAGGGCCTATAAGCAAATTAAGGCCATTTATTTCTCGAAACCCTACTCAAATAAGAAAACATTTATTTCATATTCTCAGATCCTGTCCTAGTTAATGAATATACTCGAACCTGTAGACGACGCTTAGGCACCAAATTTCCTGTTATCACGTAAAAAATAAATAAATCATAAGGATCTGTTCATACCTCACTGAGATTGGATATCAAACCGAAGGGACGCCAGGTAGAGCTCTCTGTAGCACCAACCAAGCGGCTAGCAGCGTCTGCCCAAACTACGATTTGGTTCACCGGATCGTAGACCAGTTGCCAGCGCCAGCCAACTTCATCCATCCCTAGCGGGCGTGATTGTGAAGGCTTAGCTCGGCGGCCAAGAAACCTCCGCCGACCTTGGTCTCGTATCGAGCCAGTAGCAGTAAGGTGACGGGTTATACTGGTAGATCGCCGTCGAAAGTCAGAAGGAGAATTTGAACGAGAACTAGGATCACTACGGCTTGTCCGGAGTAAAAAAGATTTACGAGGTACGGGAAAATCTGGCAAGAGAATAAGCGAAAAAGTTGTTGATTGAGTCGAATTTTAAATATGCTAAACGAAACAAAATTTAGTCCTATATTAAAATATATATAAATAAATTTATTTATTTACATATGTCTTATTAGCAGCACATGTGCGTAAGGAGATGTAGGAATAAAGCATAAAAGACTAAGAAGTATGGCAAATAAAATAGGAAAAAAAGCGAAGATGAACTAATTTGCTAGATAGTATGGGAAGGTGAGAAATAGACCCAATCACTTTTTAAATAGGAGAAACTAAGAGCATCTTCGTACGATTAACTAAAGCTGAGGTTGAATCGAGAGCAAACAGTCAACTTATGAAAGGCAACTCTGATACGAAGGAACGGTCTAAAGTAAACATTGAATTCTATTTAGATTAAGTAGTAATCCAGATGGCCTAGAGAAAAGATGAGATCAATATCAAACAAAACAGACAGCAAATGAATGATATTGGCGTTGGAGTAAGAGCGATTAGGCTGTTTGCTATCATGATGCCTTAAGAAGTGGCCTTAACGTACAGATTGCAAACCTGTCCCACAAAAAAAAGATACTATGTGGAGAGTGTGATAGGCTTTATTCAACAGAAACACGGCTGGAATTTTTGATATTCTAGTATTCTATAAGAATACTTCTGAATGCAATAATCTCAATGACAAGAAAAACCCAACATTCGGATGAACATATGGTGCTTGGACTTAGGGAAATGGAATTTGCAAATACGGGTTATTTTGCATATATAAAGCTGTATCAAGTGGAACTCCTAGGAAATAAAGGTCATTGCTTACCTAACAAATTGGCCGATCATGTAACAAACTACATCTGTTGGTACCTCGAGCTTAATTCACTAAAGCTTAATCAACAAAAGCGGAAAGATAGGAAACTAAATAAAGACGCCAAGGTAAAAATTCGAATCTTATTCATTTGACAGCCAAAAGTGTGGTGGGATATTTAAAGCCATATTTGAACCAAATTGAAACAAAAACGGTATCCATTCAATTGATATAAAATAAAGTGCATGGTACATTAAGGGAAGCCTCATCAGCTTAATACAATAATGTACATTCATACGTGTCATTTTGCTTCTTGACATCAATTGAGAAGTTAGTTAGTAAGTTAGAATGTAGAATTAAAAAAATATAAAGAACAAAAAGGTTGAAAGAGAACAAAGAAACGACTGCAGGCTTTGTAATATAGGGAGATTTAATGTCACCTGTACGAATTTGATCTAGATTAGGAAGGTAGCGACTTGTAAGGCCTGATGTGGAAGAAGTTGAAGCATTGGCCAATGATAGAACAGAATTGTCCTTATTAAGAAGAGGTAGATCTTGAAGCTCGACGGGATTAACAGAAGCATCCAGGGGATTGGATGGTGCACGTTTAGCGCGTGAAGATGAGCGGGAAAGAGCTAATGCTTTTCCAGAGAGAATAAGGGCGGATGGTGTTTCTGAACGGAAAAGAAGAGCAACAGGATCAGTACAAATGAAAAAAGGTTTTTTTAAGCGAGAATACATATGCGTTCCTTTGCAAAGCATCTACTTTAATAAAATAAAAATAAGAAAAGAATGAGGATGCCTGCCAAAAGTTCAATTGTGTCCTTGAAAGACCATCTATGTGGGTGTATCTGTGCTGAGTTAGATAAATTCTCACAATGAGAACAGATTTCCATGGTCGATAAGCAAACAAATTTGCACATATTCAGGGAATTTATGGTAAGGCATGAAGTATGGACGAACTATGTACAAATAAAGAAATATAAACTAATTACGATGCTTAGAAGTATAAGAATAGAATAAGCCTCAGCATCCCACTCAAAATGATAGAGATTATAACGCTAAGGTAAATAAATTAGCATTATTCCAGCATAAAAATAAAAAAATAGAGGAAAAGAGAGGCTGAAAAGGGAATCGCGATAAAGCAGTAAGTGTCCGAGATATTTGTTGGTTGAAAACAGACGTTGTAACAAGGTATCTAAAATGCAGTAGTTATAGGGCCATAAAATGTTTGGAAACGATGTATTATCTAAGGGTCATAACCTCAGTCAAAGACTCGCTTCGGGTTTATTGGAAGGATCCAACTTTCTGCTTAGACTATTGTGCACGAGAAGCCAAATAAGTAGTTATCCATGGTTTCATTACCTTAAATGGCGGTCCTCAAGATAATTATAGCTAATTTAGGAGGTCAAGTATGAAAGCTCTATAAAATTAATAACCTGTCAAATTGGTTAGAAAAGAAAAGTCTTTCCCTATGACTGTAGAGTTTGAGGTCGAGGTTCACCTTTAGTTTAATTATTGACCCTAAGCCACTTTCAAAATTGAAGCAGTTAACAAATTTGGTTAAAATACACTAGTTAGAGATCCAAAGGTGCTGGGAATGTTGATTAGTCTGCCATATTGATACGCAGTCCTCCTTATCTAGGTCTTATCACAGTCTCTCTCTTGCCCCGTAATATCCGTCTGCCTTCTCCCTGGTTCATATATTTCACTCAACCCCTGCCACCCTATCTGTGCCACTCGAGGGGTTATTCGCCCTCCCCTGCGACTGGGTGACTAATTCGAGGCTAAAGCCTCTGAGTAAGTTTTATGGTCACGCCTTTGCTACATGGACCACGTTTCTTATAAAACCTACTGTCAGCCAACTAGCTCCAATCGCAGCCGCGTCTATCCTGTCTCTATCCCTAATAATAAGTCCATGACTTGCCATGCCCTAGTCTCTTATGTGCCAACTCACAAATGTTGTGGTACTGCTTGCTTTGATTAGGTTCAATGTTGAAC